CAGATGGTGAGGTGATAGTGGACACTTCTGCATGGAGGAGGGACCAGAGCTGCAGAAGGTCAGGGAACATCTTTCTCCTAGATCCCCTAGGGACAGCCCTGCCAGGACCTTGATTTGAGGACTTTCGACCTTCATCCTCAGAAGATGATTCATTGTATTAAGCCACTAAATCAGTGGCCATTTGTTATAGCAAGATAGGAAATTAATACGGCCTGAGGGTCTGGAATGTAGACCTGAAATTAAATGGGGATCAAAGGGAAAGAAGGGTCCCCTAAAGAGGCTGAGGGTATGACCAGAGAAGTGGGCATGCAGGGTAAGACCTGGCGAGAGTCCAGGAGGGAAGGCTGACATGACAGGAGGGGATGCAAGGGTTTGAAAGTGCCCTGGAGTGTGACTCCTGGGCTGCCATTGGTGACAGTGGCAAGGCAAGGTGACAGGGCAAGAGTTACTCTGAGTGGGGCTGAGGCATTGATGGCTGGAAGAGGAGGGCAAATATCGGAATAGTCTTTAAGAAGTAAGTGACAATGGGTGCTTTACAAGTAGCTATCAGGGAGGAAAGGTACCAGTGAGATGGTAGGGTGAGGGTGAGGGCAACAGAGGCCACTCTGCTGAGCTGGAGCATCTTAAGACAGCTCTAGGTAGGACTGTGTGCTGTGTGTATGAAGGGAGATGGAAGATGAAGGAAGCTGGCAGTAACTGGTACAAGCAGATCTGTTAGGAAGGAAAGAACTTAGGAGGATTGGAGCTTGAAGGGAACCTACAAGGGCTCCTAAGATCACCCTGAGGCTGTCCCTGGGAAGAGGGCTAACTAGAGTCTGATTCCTTTTTGACATGCTCAGCTAAATGGCTTGTACTGGCTTTTGAGAGCTGACTGTCCATTCTCAGGAATTCTGCAAACTGGGTGGTGGTGTTTTTCATAACTTGACACTGACCACAATGAGAATATTAACACTACGGGAATGGGCAGATGCTACAAACAGGTCCCATCCTAGGGCCAAGGAGAATGTATTTATCAGCATACCACTGTCCCACATGGAGGGTGGTGGGCTCAATTTCACATTTGAGACTCACAGGAGTAAGATATGAGAGGCAGTTAAAAGTGCTCAGAGCAAATGAAATGCTAAGTCATGGGATTGGCTGCATCTCAGGAATGGGAGGCAAAATAAGAGCCCAAGAGGTAAGAGAGCCATACTGAGGCTGAGCTCACCATAATGGGAGCCAAGGAGGGAGGGCAGGGCAGAGGGACTCAGAGAGATCCACTGAGGATGAAGGGGGAGGATGCAGGCGGGCACAGGGGCTCAAGTATGGTCCCAGAGAACAGAAGAGAGAGAACGTCAGTCTAGTCTGGAGGACGAGGTGCCATCATGGACCAGCCTCAGTACAATGGTGCTGCACCGATGACTAGGCTAGGGATGAAAGAGGGGAGACAGCTTGTGACCCTAACACTCAGGCATCCTAAGTGTTTTTGGGTTTTCTGAAAGTATAGTATTTCTTAGCTCTGTCCTGAACCTAGACCAGAACTGATGGCAGATAACCATGTCAGTCAGCAACTGAGAGCTCCCATTGTGGTATCTTAATTGTCATTTCCCAATAAGAGAGACAGCAAATGGCAGGCCTGGGGCCACAAAGTACAAGCTGAGCCTGAGACTCTCAGTAGACTGGAGAGTAAGTACACACTTGGACACTGAAGGCTTGTCAAAAGTTTCTGAAGATAATTTGCAGCCAAGCACAAAACCTGTAAGGTACCACACAACATCACAGATGCCTAGAAACCATGCCAGAGAACCGGATGTCACTTATCGGTCCTCTGTTTCTGAACAGGAGCTTTTGAAGCTTCTGTCTAGTAAGGATCAAGTGCTAGGGACCAGCTGTGCACTATTGTCCCTGTAGTTAATAATATTGTGTGCACACATAAGATTTTATTACGAAATGCCATAGTACTCTGACAGAATAAAGCAAAATGAAATAAAATACAGTGTCACCCAGACCCATGGCATGCAGGATATGCAAAGACATGGGATTCTTCACCTCCTCACCCTGCACAAGTTCACTGAGTACCTGCTTACAGACATAGCCCGGGCTTTTGGATTTGCAAACACTAATGTAAGTATGTATGCCTTAAGTACATAACATGCTGACAATACTTGCATCTGTCCCTGAGCTCGATACAGAACATTTCCAGCATGGCAGAAAGTTCTAGCACTTGCTTCCAGTTGGCACTCATTTCCCCCACTCTCTTAGGCACACAAAGGCAACCACTATTTTAATGTTTGTCATTGATTAGATTTTGCCTATTTTGAATGTCATGCGCATAGAATCATATAGTAAATATACTTTATGCCCCCAGTTTGGCTTACTCCACCCAATTAGAAAGTCCATAAAATTCTGCTATGACTATCCACATGTTGGGGCTGATAGGTCACAGTCTGTGGCCCTCTGTGCCGGCATTCCTCTAGGATTCCAGACTTTTCTTAACAGTCTTGCTCCGCCACAGCTGTTGCTTCTGCTCACCAGCTACATCTCCATTGCAGCTGGGACTGCTAAAGATGAGAGGTGTGAATGAGGGTGTGGTGGGCTGCTTAGTGATCCCCAGAGAGTGGTCCCTGTAGAGATGTTTTCATTTCTAAAACCATGGACTTTGTGGACACACATCACTCTTCACCTCCTTGTCTGGTTCTTGTCCTAGCTGGCACACCCCCGTGGATCTGAAGGGTTCCCACCCGTGCAGCTGTTCCTTGGCTGCACCTCGGCTGCACCTCTCCTCTCCCAGCTGCCTTTCCTGACTCCCACTAGGTTCTTTCTAAACAGGTACTGCCCTGGCTTACACCCTTCTGCTACTTCCTGGGAGACTATACCCCATACTCCTGCAAGCACCCTCTTCTTCAACCCCTGTGTCCAAATCCCCATAGACTTTATCTTAGCACCTCCAGCTAAAACATGCTGGCCCCTTGAAGGCCACATTCCCCACAGTGTTGCAGCTCAGAATGTTTGCTCAAGGGCACCTCTTCCGTCACAGGCCCAGGGAGTGTCAGGGCCTCCTGGCCCCTTTCCCTCCTCAACAGCCTCCAGGCCACTCTCATGCTCTCACAGCAGTCTCTAACCCCCCCCCCATCCCGCTTTGTGCTCCAGTCTATGCAGGGCAGAATGGAATTTTCTGTTTCTTTGCTTGGCACCTGTCCTGTTTGTTCATTATTGCCAGCTCCTTAGGATTAAGCTCTGCCAGGAGTTAGAGCTGGTATGTACATCCTAAAACACACAACTTGATGGTTTTGCATATTCATACATCCATGCAATCCCTTCTTAGAGACGGATATAAACATCTCTAGGGCTCCTATACCATGTGGGAGGAGCAGCAGAGATACAGGGACAGAGAAAAGGCAGCACATGCCAATCAGGGGCAGAGGTCATGGAGAGATGATTTCCTGGAAGATGATGTGATATGGACCTCAAAAAAAGAGTCCTAGGCTTTTTGCTGTGTTGATTTTAACTGTGAAAACAAGTGGGAAAAATCCAACATTCATCAGGAGACTGGATCAACACACTGTGTAGTGGTCTCAAACGCACTAGTAATGCGTGACACACTGCATGAATGTCAAGGACATAATGTTGGGTGAAAAACACAGACTGAAGAGTGATATGCACGGTGGATGCCACTGATACAAATTCTGAAGACAGACAAAACAATGCTATACTTTGAAATGAACTCAGATAGAGTATCAACAAATACCTGGGAGTGATAAATGCCAGCATCACCTCCGGGGAGGTGGAGGAGGAAATGGGCATTGAGTTCAGCTGTGACCTATTCTGAGCAAGCATCGAGAGGAAGGATGTAAGGTAGACACAGCAAGCTCAGCATATGCCAGTGAGGGTGATCATAGACCCAAGGTGCTTATTGTATTATATTGTTATTATTATTATCCTCATCATCGTCATTATTAGATTAGTCTCTCCTCATTTATGTATTATTCTGTAATAAAAAAAAGTTCAAATGAAGTAAAGGAAAATGTAAGAAGGGAGATGGCATTTTCTACCCAGGCTGAGTGTTTCCTGTGGGAACTGGTGTGAGCTAGACACACACACAGTTTTGTTCCCAAATAGTATGAAAACACCAAGAGACTTGTAGGAGAGTGACACACCTGAACTATGATATATAAAAGTCACTGTGGCTGCTGTGTGGGAGACTTGCAGGGACGCAGGAGGGAGGCCCTTGTTTCTTCTCTCAGGGCAACAGCCGGGGAGAGGCCCTGCTTGAACCTGCAGAGGTTGCAGCTATGAGCAGAGTGACCAGAGCAAAGAGCCTTAGAAATGCTGCCCCTTTCTCATCCGTGCTGGTCTTGGCCCTTGGGCCCTGCTCCAGGGCTGCTAGGCTCCAGGGGTGGGAGGAATCCCCCGAGAATAGCTGTGCTTCCCCCAGGATTGCAGGTAACCAGTTCACTCCGTAAATGAGTGTAAACAACAGTAACTGTCCACTTGACAATTTTCTCATCCTGTCCTTCTCACCTTCACAGCCCCCTCCTCCAGTCCCTTCAAGAGGAGATTTCAGAAGGGAAAGCCCACAGGGTTTTCACAGATACCAGTGGGGCCACTGAAAGAACGCCTCTTGGAGGAAGCAGGGCCTCTGATGTCTGCTGAGAGACAAGGTGACTGGCTTGGGTCTGCTGCCAGTGAATGAATGAGTGCACGGGGGCTGGCCTGCTATGGATCTATTTCCAGAGATGGGTATATCCACTGGGGGACACGTACTCTGCTGGGCACATGTCACAGGGAGATGTTTGCCCAGATTTCCAGGGAACTAAAACAAGGCCAAGGTTTGTAATGGCTACAAAAGGTAAGAAAAAGAATGAAAAACCAGTAAACGGAAACCCAGATGTACCAAGAGGCCCCTGCTCTCCCTCTACAACAGTAAGTGACCAGGAAGTTCACAAACATCCACAGTCAGGTTGTGGCTCATCCAAGCCTTCCAGAAAGGGAGAAGGGTCTAATGTGAAGGGATCACTCACCCAGTGGCAGGACGAAGAAGAAGGGGAACCAGCAAAGGACGAAGACACCCACGACGATGGCCAACGTCTTGGCAGCCTTCTTCTCGCGGGAAAACTTGAGCAACCTTACTGAGAGTGAGCTGCGCAAGGTGTGGCCCTTGCTACTCTGTGCCCCATGGGTTCCTTTGGCGCTAGTACCTGCACCCCGGCAGTGGATCCTCAGCACCACTTCGGAGGCCTTTCCAGGCTCCCGCTTGATGCCTGCCTCGAGGCTGCGCGTGGTGCTGCGTGCAACCACATACACGCGGCAGTACATGACCACGATCACTGCCATGGGCAGGTAGAAGGAGCACACGGAAGAGAAGACAGCATAGCCCACTTCCTCGGTGATGCCGCAGAAACGCTCATCTGGGGGCACTGGCTCCTTCCAGCCCAGTAGCGGTCCCACGGACACCACCAGGGCCACCGCCCAGAGCAGAGCCAGGATGGCAGCGGCCTTGCGCTCTGTCATAATGGATGGGTACTTGAGCGAGTGGCGTACACCCACGTACCGGTCCACAGAGATGGTGCAGAGGCTAAGGATGGAGGCGGTGCAGCACAGCACGTCCACAGCAGCCCATACGTCGCAGAAGGTCCGGCCAAAGGCCCAGAAGCCGAGAACCTCCATAGTGGCTGAGAAAGGCAGCACAGCTGCACTCAAGAGTAGGTCAGCTACCGCCAGGTTCACGATGAAATAATTGGTGACCGTCTGCAGGTGGCGGTTGCAGGCCACCGAGAGGATGACGAGCAGGTTGCCCGCCACAGCAGTGAGGATGAAGGCCGCTAGGAAGACTCCCACTCCCACGCCCTGTGCACTCACCACCAGCCCCCCGACGGCCGCTGAGCCATTCACCTCACCGCCGGCCGCAGCCCCCGGTTCTCCCGTGGAGCTCTGGTTGTCCTCGCCGCTGCCGGTTCCCACCACAGCGCCGCCGCCAGTGGTCCCTGGCACGCCGCCCACCGCCGGGCCCTCAGGTCCAGCCGTGCCAGCTCCACCGCCTGCGCCGGAGCCCCCAGTGCTACTGTTCGAGCGGGGTCCTTCAAAAGTGACGCTCAGGAGGTCGCGGAAAGTCATCTCACGGCGCAGCCGTCGGGGCCGGAGCCCCGGCACAGGGCGAGCAAGTGGCGGGGAGGGGGCCCGCGGGCATCGCCGCAGCGCCGGAGCCAGCCCCGCGCGCCGGTCCCGTCGGTCCCTCCCAAGTTCCCGCCTCGGAGGGGGCCGCAGGGGAGCTGTAGTGCAGGGGGAGCGAAGGGGAGGCCACGGGGCCGGGAAGGTCCCAGCGGGAACGCTGGAGCGAGGGAACGGATCTAGCGGTGGCCGCGGAGTCGCAGCGAGGGAAGGGCAGGGGCGGTCGCCCTGTGCCCTTCTCCAAGCGTGTCCAGGCGAGCGGCGGCTCCGGGAGCGGTAGTGCCGGCGGCGGCCTCTGCAGCGCTTGGGACTCTGCGCGGGGGCAGGACGGAGGAGGGGCGGCCCGGAGGGAGGAGGGGGCGGCCGGCGCGAGCGAGGACTGCGGGCTGGAGAAGCGGCTCTGCGCGGCCAGCGGCTGCCAGAGTCCCTGCCGATGTCCACGACTACTCTCTATCTTAGCTGTCCCCTTGTCCTCTTTTCCTCTGCTCTCTGGGACGCCCCCCCCCCGCAGTCCTCTTAGCCCTAGCTGTGTCTCGCTGCTTCCCCTCCTCTCTCTAAACTCGCGGTCACTGGTCACTCGCTGCTTGCCCTTGCCCTAGCGGAGCATACCAGGTGCGATCCCCGGGGCTCTGGCTCCTGGCTCCTGCCGCCAGAGAGCAGCAAGAGCCTGGGATCTGTGGGTTCATGGCTTGATGGGTAACCGCTGCTGCCAGACCGCCTGGATGTGTCTAATGCCCCTCCTCTTTTCTCTGGGGCGACTGGCCAGCCCAGGGTCTCAACACCCGCTATGGTGCTATGGTGGCATTGAGACAGCCCTGAAGGATGCTTGTGCTTGAGCTGAAGTTGGGTGTGACTGGCGTGGAACCAGATCGGTGTGGCTATAGCCCCAGGACCTTGCCCACACTCTGAGTAATACCAACTTTGGCCGTTACTTTACTCTGCATCAGAGGTAGGAATAAATCTTCCTGTTGCTACTCAAAGAACTCGGACCTCCCTCTGGGCAGAGAAAGTCAAGTGCTGGAGGGTGGGAAAGGTTACCTAGGGTGGTTAAGAGGGGAGGGAGCAGAGTAGTCTGCCTTCTCTCTCCAGGCCCCGCCCTTATTGCCCTTATTGGCCACTGGATCTCCTTGAGCCTCCATTCCTTAAGAGTGAAAGGGAAGTAAAAATCACAGGAACCTGTGTTAGAGTGCTCGCACTTCTCAGATGAGTGGAGAATAATAGAGCAAGACCTGAACGTGGAGAACAGAGGACAGAGATGATGCAGGGGAACCAGGGAAGGAGAGGGGAGGAGGAGGGGCCTCCCATTGACTAACAGGACCAGTAGGGAGAGACACCGGCATTTTGTGGGAATGTGGGGGCGGGTAGCTGCACGTGTGTTTTTGAAGACCTTGCACATGCTAGGCAAACACTTCACCACCCAGTCACCTCTGCCAAGCATGTTAATGCTCCCTGCAGGAGGCCTCTAAAGATGATTAGACTGGAATAATCAGAAATCTACCCAGGATGTCTGAAGTTTGACTTCCTTTACAAGGGAGTTTGGTGAGGGAATGCTCTAACCATATTTTGGAGAGCAAGTCCCTTTGGACAGTGTCTACTCACGTGCAAGATGAAAACATATATTTTATGTTAGAGTCATTTTGGGTACAAAACTCTCTGTCATTTTCTTGTAACCCAGGCAAACCTTAGGGTCCATGTGGCCCAGTCTTGGGGAAGCACCCCCTTAAAAACAAACACTGCTCCTCCAGAGGTTCTGAGTTCAATTCCCAGCAACCACATGGTGGCTTGGAACTATCTATAATGGGATGTGATGTCCTCTTCTGTTGTGCAGAAGACAGAGTACTCATATACACTAAAAAATCGTTAAAAAACCCAAACAACAAAACAAAACCAGGGACCTCCTCATGCTTCCTGGAATCACCTCCCATACTATCTAGAGTCCCACTATTATCACCATTACAATAAGACAGAAGAAACAAAGAGCCCAGCACCACAGAATTAAGTGTGCTAGAGACTTAATCCAAGGCAAATGGTTATATTTAGAGAGGCTAACCCTTTAGACCTGCAGGAAGCATATTGTGGAAATGCAGATTGGAGTGAGGAATGATCAGGGCCTGATCTCAGGTAAAAAGCCACTACAGCATAGCATTTCCCTGCTATGATCCAAGCTGTCCTTATCCTTCACCTAAGGGTGGCTTCTGCTCATTGCAGCCTCACCTTCCTGTCACCCCTGGTGCTGGGTGATTTCTGCTCTTCCAGAGAACCCAGGTTGGGTGGTGTGGGCCACGTGATCACCTATAAACTCTACTTGCAGGGAATCTGATGTCTTCTCTGGTGTCCTCAGGCAACTGTACACACATGGTGCCCGTAAACTCCTGCAGGCCTACACACAGCATGCATACACTAATGCGGGCACAAATACATCTTTAAAAAACTGACTTTCATTTTTTCCTTACCTTGACTTGGCCTGTGGAAGTGAGGCCACAGACATGCCGGAGGAGTTTCTGAAAGTGCCACACATGTGACCTTAGCACCTTGCCGGTTCCTTGTTGTGGATGGTGGAATAAGAATGGGAGGGAACAAGGATAACTTCACTTGTGGAGTGATGTGAACTTTTCTCCCATCCTGCCAACCATTAAACTCTACCAATTAGAGTTAAGCCCTTGGGAGGCAAAGTGTGACATACATGCACAGGCTTCCTAGGGCAGTAGTTTTGATAGGAACTTCTATCTGGGAAGCAAATACTGGTATTTCCTTATTGTATGATCTTCAGCAGTTCTCTGGGGCTGATAGGCTTCTTTATAGCAGAGGGCAAATGGAATTAGACGAGAGCAGAGTAAAGCAATGGGATTCTGGCTTCAAGGCAAGCCTTTCCAGAAGACTAGCATAAATAAGTTCATTGTGGGTGAGTGTTGGGTGGGTTAGGGGCAAAATCCTAAGTCTGACCCTCTGGGCCTCCCTTGCAAGCCACCTCACAGGTTTTCAAAGCACTCTCATGAGCTCCAGGAGCCCCATGGGTAAACTGCTAGCTCTGTGATCCCTGGAGAACCTGCTTTGTGATTCAGCAGAATGGTGCTACTTTAGGATGGAGGACTAAATGCATGTAATGTCAGAAACAATGTTTGTGTCTTTCGACATGTCAGGACTCATAACTAGTAAAATCACAAACTATATTAGCTTAATTGATTGTGATTTACCAAGTAATGCTAATTTTGCTTGATAACTGGCCATTGCTAGTCAATAGTACTCTCTCTCTCTCTCTCTCTCACTCTGTGTGCATGTGTGTGGTGTATGTGTGTGTGCACATATGGGTACATGCATAAGGAGGCCAGAGGTTGACACTGGGATGTCTTTATTAATAGCTTCTCAATTTTATTTATTTTAAAATCTTGTTGAATTTATTTTATTTTTATGTATATGGGTGTTTTGCTATGCATTTAGTACCCACAGAGTACAGAAGAGGGCATTGGATCCCATGGAACTGGAGTTAATGATTGTGAGCCACCATGTGGGTGCTGGAAATCGAACCAGGCCCTCTTGTTTTTAATTTTTTTTTTCTATTTTTATTTTACATATTGATCCCGTTCCCTCTCCTTCCTCTCCTCCCTCTGCCTCTCTCCTTCCCTCCCCTCTCCCTCTTTCTCTCCCCCCTCACATGTACCCCGACCATCCTCCACTCCCATCCTCCCCCACTCCACATGTAGGGTGATGCCATCCAGGAGGGGTCATCTAAATCTGTCAAGTCATTTGGAGTAGGGACTAGGACTTCTCTCCTGTCTCTAGGTTAAGGGAGTGTCCCTCCATGGGGAATGTGCCCGCAAGGTCCTTTTGTGCACCAGGAGTACATCCTGTAAAGCAGGCCCTCTTAACTGCAGCCCATCTCTCCAGCCCCCACTTTACTTTTTGACAGGGTCTCTTACTGAACCCAGAGCCTGCTGATTATCTAGACTAGCTGGCAAGCTCTAAAATCCACCTGTCTCTGTTGCTCTGTGTCCAGGGTTTCAGAACACACTATGGTGCCTGCTTTTATGAAGGTTCTAGAGATCCTAACTCAGGTCCTCACGTTTGCATGGCAAGCATTTTAGCCACTGAACCAGTTCCCAGCCACTGGTTCTTTCCGTCTAATTCTACTTACTAATATTAACTCTCAGATCACATTTTGCATTTTAGGTATCCGTGCCACAGAATGTCTATGAAAGAGTTAAAAAGGCCTCAGTGTTCAGAGACACTGTCCTGATGTTGCAGACAGAGAGCCGATGCAGTTGTAAGGGAAAGCCTGTGGAGCCCTACATGTGCAGACACAGAAGTGTACAATTCAGGTCCAATGTAGACACAGAGGTGTCCAATTCATGTCCAATGCAGGCACAGAGGTATATGATTCAAGTCTAATGTAGGCTATTTGGGGATTGGTTTGCTGTCTGAATGTCATTGGCAGGGGAAATTTCTCTGGAGCTGGAGCCCAAGGCAGGAGTCCTGCACTATATAGTTTCTTGGATGAGGTGTCTGCTGAATGACAGGGTAACTACTCAGTATTTTTGCTTCATTCCAGTCTTAGGATGAGCCTTCTCTTATAGCCCCAGGTAAGGGGATTACATCTGGTATGATCAATAAGCTTCCTTGTCTGGGGTTTCTGATGTGATCTGGTATATTTTCAGGTATCATTATTTGTATCAACAAATTGTCAGCTTCTGGTTATGTTGGCAGCGGCTGTTGTTTCCGTGTGTAAACAAGACCTGGAGTCATTTTTAATCCTGTGTACTCAAAATGGGGTAACTCAGGTCAGGGCTGTTGCCTTATTCACTTGTGACTAGGCAGAACTGGAAAGCTCTGCCCACAGCCCAGTGCAGACTCAGCCTGCTTGCCTGACTCTGCATTTGTCCTTTTCTCAATTGTTAGATACTTCAGAATGATAGAAAACAGAAGGAAATGGCTTGATTTACTGAGGCATTACCATCTAGGATGACAAGTTCTGGACTCCAGCCCACTGAGCAGACTTGAAGAAATTCTATAAGAAGTTGTGTGGAGTATGAAGTATTATGATCCAGTGCCTCTCTTGCAGTTAGGATGACAAGTTCTGGACTCTAGCCCCTAGTGAACCCACTTGAAGGAACTCTACTGTGAGGATGGTATTGGTTGGTTCTCACTGTCAGAGTTAGAATGCTAAATGGCAACAATGTAGATAGAGAAGGCATTGGGGGCAGATTTATCTATTTTTTTTTGGCACCATCTGGTCAGCCTCCACTG